GGTCATGCAGGAGGCAGCTGATTGATGTCTCTCTCTCACATCGACGTTTCTATCTTTCCCATCCTCTCTCTCTCTAAAAAAAAATCAATAAAAGCAAACAAAAAAAGAAATGTAAAAGTAAATTCCAAAAGATCTGCCTGCTAAAAGAGAGGAAAGGGGCTGCCTCTTAGGAGCAGTCTAGGATGGAGAGATTAGGTATCAAGGACTCCTATTCCATATCCTCATACCTACCTCAGAGATTGTTGTGATGATTAACTGAGATATATATATTCATATATAAAATGTAAGGTATTTTATTTATGTTTATCTTTATTTATTTTGAGAGTGAGAGGAAGAGAAAGGGACAGAAAGACAGAAACATCAAGGAGAGAGAATATCGATTGGCCATCTCCTGCATGCCCCCCACTGGGGGTTTGGCCCACAACCTGGGCACATGCCCTGACCAGGAATCAAACTGGCAACCTATTGGGTGTATGGGTCGACACTCAACCGCTGAGCCACACTGGCCAGGTGAAATGTAAGGTATTTAATGAGTAAAAAATTTTAAATCAAAATAGAACACATTCATTTGAAACACAGGCAATTAATCTATTTTCAAGAATTATTGAAGCCCTGGCCAGTTTGGCTCAGCAGTTAGAGCATCCGCCCACAGTCCAGAGAGACCCGGCTTTGGTTCCCGATAAGGGCACATACCTTGGTTGCAGTTTGTCCCCGGTTGGGTAGTACGGGAGGCAGCCACTCGATGTGTCGCTTTCACGTCGATGTTTCTCTCTCTCTCCCTCCCACTCTGAACAAAAAATGGAAAAATGGCCCTGGCCGGTTTTGCTCAGCGGTTAGAGCATCGGCCTGCGGTCCAGAGAGACCTGGGTTAGGTTCCCATTAGGGGCGCGTACCTCAGTTGCAGTTTGTCCCCGGCCCTGGTTGGTCGTGCGAGTGGCAGCCACTCGATTTGTCCCTCTCACGTTGATGTTTCTCTCTCTTTCTCTCTCTGTCTCTCTTCTTCCCACTCTACCTGAACAAAAAATGGAAAAATGTCCTTGGGTGAGGATAAAAAAAAAAAAAAAGGAAAAATGTCCTCACAAGAAGATAAAAAAAAAAAAAAAAGAATTTTTGAAAAATTTAAAAGATACAAAGATCTTGGAATTATTTGCCTAGAACTAAATGGCCATTATAAAATTACACAAGTTTGAAGCATAGTTTATTTGAGAAGTGACCTAACTGGATAATAGCAGGACACAAGGAAATTGAAAAGTTATACTACTTCAAAATTCATAGAGGTAAAAAGTGTATATATTTTCTTCTTTAAATTATCTTCTGTAATATTTCCTTTTTTTTTTTAAATCCTCACCCAAGGATATTTTTCCATTTTTCTTCAGCTAGAGTAGGACTTTAGGGATATTAAGAGATCATCTTGTGTACTTTTCTCATTTTAGAGAAGAAAATTGACAGCCCAGAACAAACACTAGAAACTAGGGTCTTAGAAAAAGTTCGAAGAGTCTGGACCTCTAACTCTCTGCACAGACCAAAGATAATGATTAGGCATGGCAGTCTATAATAGAGGTTAAAAAAACAAAAACAAACTTTGCTCAAGGTGAAAAAATGACACACTGGATTACCAGCTCCACCTTTCACGTGGTCAATACGTCCCAGGCATGGTGCCATGGCAAAGGGATATAGGGCCTTTCACTATTTAGAATTCCACTTTCTTACTTAGGAAGCTGGGTATAGCATCTAATTAAACAAATCCCCAAACCCAGACTTTTCATTCAGTCATCTCACTCTAAGAGAAATGAGAAAATAAGAGGCAGAACTGACCCATATCAGCACTTTTCACTTTCTGAGAGCTCAAAACAGTAACCTTTTCTCCAAAAATCCTAATGCCTCCTCTTCATGGTCAAACAGTAAATAACTTGGGGAAGACAATAAAAGTGAGCTAATTCCTATTTCAAAGCACAAAGCTAAACCTTAGATTATTTATAGATCTGGTGTCAGCCTTGTCCTCATCTCCCCTCCTTATACCTTGGATTGCCTACTCTCCACACAGGGAGGCTCCCATGCACACTCTGAGCCAAAGGTTCTCACAGTACCTCTCATTTCTACACTTCAAATGCAAATAAACTAGTTGATACCCAAGCACCTCTCTGTAAAAACTAAAAATACTTCTACCTACCTAGGTTTCAAATAGTCCACAGTAATGGGGGGGTAGGGGAGAGACACTGGCAACAAATATGAAAAGATAAAAAAAGCATTATCTAGCCCGGCTGCTGTGGCTCAGTGGATTGAGTGTTGTACCATAGACTGACTGAGAGGTCCCGGTTCAATTCCCGGTCAGGGCACATGCTTGGGTTTAGGGCTCAATCCCCAGTAAGGGCATGCAGGAGGCATCCAATCAATGTTTCTCTATCATATTGATGTTTCTATCCCTTTCTCCCTTCCTCTCTCTAAAAAAATAAATAAAAACATATTTTTTTTTAAAAAGCATTATCCATGTATAAAAGTTGTTAATACAAATCTGAAAAGATACTGTCCAATTTCTGTCAAATAAATGGCCAAGAATTAAGAACAGATTATTCACACAGGAAAATATCCAAAGAGTAAAACACTTGAAAAAATGTTAATAATTAAAGAAATGTAAAACAGCCCTTGCTGGTTTGGCTCAGCAGTTGGAGTGCCAGCCTGAGGACCAAATGGTCTTGGGTTTGATTCCTGGTCAAGGGCATGAACCTGGGTTGCAGGTTTGATCCCCAGTCCGGGTCAGGAGGCAGCTAATCGATGCATCTCTCGCACATCAATGTTTCTCGCTCTCATCCTCCCTCCCTCTCTCTTCCACTCTATCTGAAAAATCAATGGAAAAATACCCTCGGGTGAAGAGCAAAAATAAATAAGTAAATAAATATAAAACAAATTATAAGGTTCATCTTGTCAGCTAAATTAGCAATAATAAAAAAGTTAGAAAACTCGTTATCAGATATAGCACAGCAATAAAACTCAGTCATCCTACTATTGGGACTATTATTTCATGAAAATAATTAGAAAGAGAAATAATCTTATAAATACAAAGATAACTGAAGTCCACTATAGATAATAAATTGAAATTTTAAAAAGAACAGTTGACCTACATATGGCATTCTAATTTGATGTACTTTTATAGTGCTGTTAAAGATGATAAACATAGCCAGGGCAGTGTACCTCAGTGGGTTGAGCATTGTCCCATGCACTAAGAGGTCACCAGTTCAATTCCCAGTTGGGGCACATGCCCCAGTTTCAGGCTCCGTCCCTGATGTGGGGTGTGTGGGAGGCAGCCAATTGATGTTTCTCTCTCATCAATGTTTCTATCTCTCTCCACCTCTCCCTTCCTATCTAAAAAATCAATAAAAATATATTTAAAATAATAATAATAAAAGATAAATATATAGGTAAACGAATGGAAAATTCTGTATTAAATTATACTAAATGAATAATAAGAAAAAAAATATGATTAAACTATTAAAATTATGTGCATAGCCTGGATGGTGTGGCTCAGTGGTTGAGCATTGTCCCATGCACCAAGAGGTCCCTGGCTTGATTCCCGGTCAGGACACATACCCAAGTTGTGGGCCAAATCCCCAGTGGGGGGCATACAGGGGGTGGCCAATCAATGTTCTCTCTCATCAATGTTTCTATCTCTCTCCCTCTCCCTTCTTCTCTCTCCAAAATCAATAAAGAAAAAATATATATTTTTAATTATGTATATATAATGATAAGGATTAGAGGAGGTCAGAGAGTTAGGTAAATGATTTTATAGAGCAACGTTTTTTGTTTTGTTTGACTACTTTGTTACTTTTGTTTATAATTTTCCATAGACATAAACACAATTTTGGATCCTCTCTTGTTCTGTAAAGCCTAAGCCAAAAAAAGTATTCAATGGATTTTCCCAGGTATAAATTTGCTACTAGGCCAGTCAATGGTAACAGAAATATGAGACCAGAGTTCATTCACGGTTTCAGGCTTTCCTAGGAAGCCAAAGATTCTCTGGAATTTTTGAGAAAGAAAACTAATTTTCCATTTTAACTCTGTAAAGGATGAACAAGTTCAATTACACAACAAAGATTTCTGTTATCAGGCATAGAATTTAGAATATACCAAGGTGGGAGAAAGATGTCAACATAATAGCATAGCTTGCATTGTCACCAAACATGCAGGACAGCGTCCCTGGTTACCCTCATGATCACCCTATGCATTCTTCATCACTGAGACTATGGACTTGCCTGTCCTAGAAAAGTGAAGAATATCAAATAACTCTTCAGGCTCTTTTCCGATTGGTATACAAAGGATCAAATGAAACCATCAAGTAACAGACTAATAATTTAGTTTTAAAATATCTCCCATGTACAAGGCCTTTATTTCCATTTCAGAGCTCCTGGATGGGATCCAAGAAGAGCTTATATCATTCTACATCTCAGTCTGGAAGCTCAATGGTGGCCCCATAACTCTGGTCACACTAGTCAATTTGCACCAAATTTTAGAGGTCAATGGTAAGTGGGTTGAGGAAACAAAAAAATTCTTGAATTCAATTGAGGGGTTCTCATGAGAAGAGGGCTCCTTGGACCAGCTGCCACAAATACCCTCTCAAAAGGAAAAGAAAAAGAGCAGGTGTGGAGGGAGAGAGAAAGTTTACTGGCTTGCTTTAGGAAAAAGAAAAAGAAAAGGTTTTTATTAGTGCTTAAAGCTGAGATGGCAATGGAAGAGGAGGAGATTCACACAATGAAGCAATATTCACACATATTTATTTGCCACTTTGGATAATTTCAGAGACATGAGAGTTTGAGAAAAGGCAGGGGGCGGGAGGGCTGAGTGAGAGAATGTAACTTTTCAGGGAGAAAAAAGTCAATCTTTAAGTCCAAGTGAGTATCTTCCTGTGCAGCCAGCCTCCAAGACGACTCCCAATGACAATGACCTTTGCAATCCTCTCCCACACTGTATCAGGGTTGATCTGGATGACCAATATAAAATGGCAGAAGTGATGGTATGTTACTTCTGAGACTAGGTCAAAAAAGATAGTGTGGCTTCTGTGCTCTCTTGGATCATTCACCTAGGGGGACGTCAACTGCCATGTTGCAAACAGTTCTATGGAGAGGCCCACATTGTAAGTAACTGAGGCTTCTGGACAACAGCCTGTGAGAAACTGAGGCTTCTTACCAATAGCCACATGAGTGAGCTTTGGAATGGATCCTCCAGCCCAGCCAAGCCTTCAAATTATAGCCCAGGTGGGATGACCATCTTGAGAGAACCTAAACCAGAACCATTAACTAAGTGGCTCCGAGATTCCTGACCCTCAGAAACTGTATGAAATAATAATAAAAAATTTAAACAACTAAGTTTTAGGGCATTTTGTTATATAGCAATAGATAACATAACCTCAAACTAAACAAGTGTGATGACAAACTGTAGTAGATGGTAATATCATGATTTCATCTACTGGGTGAAAAAAAAATCACCTTCAAATTAAAAGTGGTCTGCTCCCCAAGATACTACTAAAAACCAAGTAAGGCTAAAGGGGTTCTACTGGAGGGAATGAATTGTCCTTCTCCTTCAACACTAATCTAAGGATTGTCACAGGCAAAGAAGCCCCATCAGAAGAATCCAACACAACTCCCTCCCACAAATTATATCATCTACCTACCTTACAGCCATAGACATGAGGTTAGTAAAAGGTAAGCTACACATGCTAGTCATTGTAAGGGTGTTGTCCCATACCAGAGTAGTCAAGGGTTAAAGTTGAGGCAGCAAACATATCCCCAGAGATATATGCCTGGCACTAAACTGAAATTCACAAGATTCTCCCTGAGTTTTCCTTACCTCTAAACGCTGGATAACTGATGCTCACTGAATGCTGATATTTGTATGAATAAAAATGAAGGGATTTAGCAAATCTTGTTCCTGCACACAGTTGTCAAAAAAAATCTGACCTTTACAACAGGAAAAAGAAGGGGGATTTAAAGATTTAAAAAAGAGGCAGTGACTGTCTAATGTATAACAAACCTTTGAAAAATTATGAAGCAGTGAAAATCCCCTACAGGTCCCAACAAAATGTGTCCAATTTGCATTCCAGCAAAGCTTTCCATACATACCATTTGGCTCCTGTGTGTACTTCCAGGCAAATAAATCCCGAGGAATAATCCCACTGGGACCTAAGTCTGATCTCTGATATATTACAGCTCCACAACTCCAGACCAGGCTCCACAAACTGCCTTTTTGGTTCCAAATAACTAAATCAAACTCATCCTGATAAGCTTTGAAAACAGGCAATGTGAGGAGTGGTTTAATAAATGTTACAACTCAACCTATTATAAACCACAGTACATTATTGGAGAAGAGAAAGGAAAAAAAAAAACCCCTCATACTTGTACATCCCAAATCTCTCAACACCAAATCCAGACATACCTGTCATTCAACCCCACCTGACTATAATATAAAGCCTTATTCAAAGCCTGACTTTGATCAAATGGTTAGGATGCATTTGCAAACCTAACACCAGTGTGTGCTGGGGGTGAGGGGAAGATACCGTAGAGACTACAATTTTTTGTTTACTTTAAAAACTGATCCAAACTCATTAAAAAAAAAAAAGCAATCAATGGAAGCAATAAACACTGAAACATATTGACTTAAAATAATACAAGGAAAAAACACAGTAAACAGTACAGTAGCAAAACAACTTTTTTTTAGAGGTCAGAAAAATCGGCCACCCAACACAGAAACTAGACAGCAATGTTCCTTACTTTTTTTTTTTTTTTTTTTTTTTTTTTAATCCTCACCCGAGGACATTTTTCCATTTTTTGTACAGATAGAGTGGGAGGGAGAGAGAGGAAGAGAGAGAGAGAGAGAAACATCAATGTGAAAGGGACACATCGAGTGGCTGCCACCCGCACGACCAACCAGGGCCAGGGACAAACTGCAACCGAGGTACATGCCCTTAGCGGGAACCGAACCCGGGTCTCTCCGGACCGCAGGCCAACGCTCTAACCGCTGAGCCAAACTGGCCAGGGCTAGACAGCAATGTTAAGAAAAAAAGGAAAACTAGATTTATAGAGAAAACTGAGAGAACTAGAAGTTCAAGTATCCCAGATCCCAGCATCAATTTTCTCCTTCCACAAGAAGAAAGTAATCTTCACAAAAGAAAAATAAATTTAGATAACACATACTAAAACATTAACCATAGTGACTACTATTAGATAAATCACAATATATAGACACAAGAAGTAGAAACTGATGGCCTAAAAAAGAGAAAGTAAGAAAAAGGCATTTAGGAACTCAGTAATTTGATGCAGGAGACATCAAAATAAGAAAATATCCTGCCAGATAGCAAAAAAAAAATGGGAACATTAGAGTTTTAATATTTCTATGTAATCTCATACAAGTAGTAATGGAATAACAATTGAAAGCAGTTTCTGTAACACCCTCAAAAGAATCAGTTACTCAGGAATTAAAGTTAAGTCCTTTTCCAGAAGGTTATTCAGCAAGTAGGAAAATAAACTGGCAATCTGCAAGCAAACTGAGCCTCCTGTATCATCAGCAAGACCCAGACTGGTCAGGAGTCCCACAACAGATGAAACTTGAAATACTGCCATCTACTCTCGAGACCCAAAATGTAACCAATACTTTTTTTTTTGCAAATCAGATTTCAGCCCTGTCTAGGCAACCCATATTAGCTGTGATCATCACTATGTTTGCTGCAGATTTTAGAAGATTCTTCAGCACAAAGCTAGAACCACAATGCCTTAATTGGCCTAGAAGGGCCATCCAGCTATTTCTTTTCTTTTTTTTTTTCTTTTTTGAGAGAGAGAAAGAAACATCGATTTGAGAGAGAAACATCAATCAGCTGCCTCCTGCATGACCCTCACTGGGGATTGAGCCCAAAACCCGGCCACATGCCCTGTCTGGGAATCAAACTGACACTTCTCAGTCCATAAGAGGATGCTCAATCCACTCAGCCACACCAGCCAGGCCCATCCAGCTAGTTCAAGAGAATATGCTAGGAGATTCATAAGGACTGGAAGAAGTTTTATCACCACAGTCCTATCCGGTCTCAGATTTTGAAGCTAGTCCAGCCAGTGTGGCTCAGTGGATAAGCATCAGCCCATGCACCAAGAGGTCGCTGGTTCGATTCCCGGTCAGGGCACATGCCCAGGTTGTGGGCCGGATTCCCAATGGGGGCATGCAGGAGGAGTCCAATTGATGTTCTCGCTCATCAGTGTTTCTATCTCTCTCCCTCTCCCTTCTCTCTCTAATCAATAAAGAAAAAAACTTTAAAAAGATTTTGAAGCTATAATAAAAAATAAATTTAGCCCTGGCCAGTTTTCTCAGTGGTTAGAGCGTCGGCCCGCGGACCAGAGAGTCCCGGGTTTGGTACCTGCTAAGGGCATGTACCTCAGTTGCAGTTTGTCCCCGGCACCGTTTGGGGTTGTGTGGGTGGCAACCAGTCAATGTGTCTCTCTCACATTAATGTTTCTCTCTCTCTCTTCCTCCCACTCTCCCTCCTGCTCTATCTGAAGATAAATGCAAAAATGTCCTCGGGTGAGGATAAAAAAAAAATTTGTTTAAACTGGGAAATCGCAAGTGATGGTGAGGATGTGGGGAAACTAGAAATCTCACACATTGCTGCTGGGACTGAAAATGGTTCAGCCACTGGGGAAAACAGTTTGGCATTTCCTCAAAAAGTTAAACATAGAGTAAGTAACCATATGATCCAGTAATTCCACTCCTAGGTATATAATTTAAAAAATTGAAAACAAGTACTCAAATATACTTACATACATATTCCTAGCAGCACCGTTAACAACAGCCAAAAGGTAGAAATAGTCCAAATGTCTAACAGTGAATAAATGGAAAAACAAACTGTGGTATATGTACACAACAGAATATTCAGCCATAAAAAGGAATAAATACTGATTCATTCTATAATGAAAACACTATGCTAAGTCAAAAAAGCTAGATACAAAAGATCACATATTATTCTATTTATATTAATGTCCAAAATAGGTAAATCCATAGAGACAGAATACAAACTAGTGGTTGCCAGTGTTTAGAGGGAAGGGAGAAGAGGAATCAACTACTTAATGGATACAGGCTTTCCTTTTGGAGTGAAGAAAATGAATGTACTAAATGCCACTAAATTTTCCACTTTTTGTTCAGATAAAGTGGGAGGAAGAGAGAGAGAGAGAGAGAAACATCGACGTGAAAGGGACATATCGAGTGGCTGTCTCCTGCACGGCCCCAACCAGGACCAGGGACAAACTGCAAACGAGGTATGTGCCCTTAGCGGGAACTGAACTCGGGTCTCTCTGGACCGCAGGCTGACACTCTAACCACTGAGCAAAACTGGCCAGGGCATATAACTTTTTTTATATTGCTTTACAGTTTTTACTTTTTCTTTATTGATTTTTAGAGAGAGAGGAAGGGAGAGGGAGAGAGATAGAAATATTGATACGAGAGAACATCACTTGGCATGCCCCCCATTGGGGATTGGGCCTACAACCTGGGCATGTGCCCTGACCAGGAATCAAGCCGGCAACCTCTTGGTGCATGGGCCGGGCTGACGCTCAATCCACTGAGTGACACGGGCTGAGCTTTATATGACTTTTACCCCAATTTTTTTTTAAAGCTCTTGAAAATAAAAGTAAAGATTTTATCTCTAATTCTACTCTATTTTTCTAAAGTGCTTTAACAGGATATGGGCTTTGCTTCTGGGAAACCATAAACAAATTCCATTTAAAGGCTGTGGTGTCTCCTCTGAAGCTTTTGTAGTGACAAATAGTCACCTCAGCCCATGGTGCAAAGGAAATCATTCTGGATTCTTGCAAAAGTGAAATAGACCTGGTAGCTTTCTACTCAACAAAACTGGTTGCCCTGAAGCAGAAATGTCAGTGAGCCATCTCTGTCTGTACTCCCACTGGAGGCTTACTGAATCCATGCTGCTTCAGCTAGCCACAATCTCCTCCTTGGAGACTCTACATCTGCTGAGACTCATGAAGATTTTACATTATACAAGACCACAGCAAGGAATTTCCCCCTCCTACATTACAGCTCAATACAGAGTTCTCTGGAGACACAGGTACTTCATCTCTTATCTTGCGTTCTGAACAAGAAATTCTCTCCCAGTCTTTTCCCCTACTAAATTTCACCAATGGAAAGGATTTTCTGGTAGAAACACTTCAAATAGTTATTCTTTATATTGCCACTTTGTCTTTCATATTTTTTCTTTCAAATTATTAAAGCAAAGCATTTTCAGAGCATGAGGTCCATCCTGTGATGTTTAAAGATTCCTATAATTGGTGGCCAATGTGGCTCTGAGGTTGAGTGTCGACCCATGCAACAAGAGGTTCAATTCTTGGTCAGGGCACATGCCTGGGTTGTGGGCCTGGTCCTCAATGGGGAGTGTGCAGGGGGCGGCCAATTGATATTCTTTCGCATCAATGTTTCTATCTTTCTCTCCCTCTCCCTTTCACTCTCTCTAAAATCAATAGAGAGAAAAAAATTTTTTAATTAAAAAAATATATATATATATCTACCCTGCCTGGCTGGTATGGCTCAATGGTTGAGCCCTGACCATGTCTTGTTAGATTTTTAATTTTTCTACTACCTCTCAGTGCTACAGTTCTGAGAACTCCTAACCATTCCCCAGGACTTCAGCCTGTCCAACTAAACACCAAAACTAAAAAATTCATGTACGTTTGTCCCAGATAGTTACCTTCACATATGCCAAAAAGAGCCTGGTTGTGTTAGTGTATAGGTCACGCTTCCAGTGGACCTTCTTATTGAACGTGGTTATCTAACAACAGGGACCCGTGAGGCAGCCTAAGGTCTGCTGCCAGAGAACAAGGTAACTAAATGGGCAGCCCAGGATTCTCTGGGATTCGATTCTTTGGTAGACAAAGCAGAATTACAAAGAGAAATGGTATTTGCCATGGAATTTTGATTAAAAGAATAATGTTGCCCTGGCCAGTATGGTTCAGTGGTTGGAGCATCGGACCAGAGAGTCCTGGGTTCGGTTCCTGCTAGGGGCACGTACAAAAAAAATTAATAATAATAATGTTAATATATATCTAGGTAAGACATAATTGTCCAGAAACAAGCAAGCTATATTCACCTCTATCTCTTGTTCCTCTTCTGCAAATGGCCCACCTGAAAGCTACAATTCTGCTTTCATCCACATAAAAAACAAATGAATAGCCCTGGCCGGTTTGGCTCAGCGGTTGGAGCATCCGCCTGCGGTCCAGAGAGACCCGGGTTCGGTTCCCGCTAAGGGCATGTACCTCGGTTGCAGTTTGTCCCTGGCCCTGGTTGGTCGTGCGGGTGGCAGCCACTCGATGTGTCCCTTTCACATCGATGTTTCCCCCTCTCTCTCTCTCCCTCTCTCTCCCTCCCACTCTATCTGTACAAAAAAATGGAAAAATGTCCTCGGGTGAGGATAAAAAAAAACAAAAAAATAAAAAAAAAACAAAAACAAATGAATAGCAACCTCATTGCCTTTTTTCATATATCATAATCACATTTTAAAAAAAGTTTTTACTGCCTTGGCTGGTTTGGCTCAGTGGTTGGAGTGTCGGCCTGTGGACCAAAGAGTCATGGGTTCAATTCCGGTCAAGTGCACGTAGCTCAGTTGTGGTTCAATCGCTGGCCCTGGTTGGGGTCATGTGGCAGGCGACCGATCAATGTGTCTCTCTTGCATTGATGTTTCTCTTTCTCTCTCTTCCTCCCACTCTCTCCCCATCCCACTCTATCTGAGGATTGATGGAAAAATATTCTCAGATGAGGATTAAAACAATTAAAGAAGAGCCCGGCCAGTATGGCTCAGTGGTTCAGTGTCAACCCATGCACCAAGAGGTCACTGGTTCAATTCCCGGTCAGGGCACATGCCCAGGTTTGGGCCTGATCCCCAGTGGGGGGCATGCAGGAGGCGGCCAATGGATGTTCTCTCTCATCAATGTTTCTATCTCTCCCTGTCCCTTCCTCTCTCTCTAAAAAAAAATCAATAAAGAAAAAATAAAGAAAGAAGCTTTTATTAACTGTGTAACCTTGAACATGTCACTTAACCTTTCTAGAGCCCGAGTTTTACTTGTTAAAGGGGGATAGTACTAAAGGCCCAGTCTATTTTATAGGTTATAAAATTTAAATAAAAAAAAAAAAGTGGCCCTGGGTCAGTCTGGCTCAGTAGTCAGAGTATCAGCCTGCAGAATAAAGGGTCTAAGGTTCGATTCTAAGTCAAGGGCCCGTACCTCAGTTGCAGGTTCAATCCCCAGCCCCAGTTGGGATCGTGCAGGAAACAACCAATCTATATGTCTTTCTCATATTGATGTTTCTCTCTTTTTTTTTTTTACATCTTTATTGTTGAATGTATTACAGATATTCCTCATTTTTCCCCCATTGACTTCCTCCTCCCCATTCTCGCCCTCCTCCGCCTTTTCCGACACTGTTGTCTGTGTTCATGGCTTATGCATATAAGTTCTTTGGTTTATTTCTTCCCACCCCCCAACCCCTTTCCCTTTGAGGTTTGTCAGTCTAGCAACCAATTTGTACTTCTTAATCTCTTCACCTTTTTCACCCATTCCCCCAACCCCCCAACCATCTGGCAACCAACAAAATGCTCTCTGTATCTTTGAGTATGTTTCTGTTCTGCCTGTCCATTTTGTTTGTAGATTCCATTGTCCATAGATATGTATTCATTGCCATTTTGTTTGTTCATATATTTTATCTTTTTCTTCAAAAAGACCCTTCATCATTTCACATAACAACGGTTTGGTGGTGATGAACTCCTTTAATTTTTTCTTGTCTGGGAAACTCTTTATATGGCCATCGATTCTAAATGACAGCTTTGCAGGATAGAGTAATCTTGGTTGTAAGTTCTTGCTTTTCATCACTCTGAATATTTCTTGCCACTCCCTTCTGGCCTGCAAAGTTTCTTTTGAGAAATCAGCTGACAGTCTTATGGGAACTCCCTTGTAGGTAACTAACTGCTTTTCTCTTGCTGCTTTTAAGATTCTCTCTTTGTCTTGAACCTTTTGCATTTTGATGATGATGTGTCTTGGTGTGGGCCTCTTGGGGTTCATCTTGTTTGGGTCTCTCTGTGCTTCCTGGACTTGAATGTCTGTCTCCTTCACCAAGTTAGGCAAGTTTTCTGCCATTATTGTTTCAAATAGGTTTTCGATTTCTTGTTCTCTCTCTTCTCCTTCTGGTACCCCCAAGATGCGAATGTTGGCACGCTTGAAGTTGTCCCAGAGGCTCCTTACACTATCCTCATTTTTTTTGGATTCTTTTTTCTTTTTGCTGTTCTGATTGGGTGTTTTTTGCTTCCTTATATTCCAAATCAATGGTTTGCTTCTTGGATTTACATACTCTACTACTGAATCTGTGTAAATTATTCTTTATTTCAGTTAATGTCTCCTTCATTTCTGACTGTGCATCCATCATTTCTGACTGGTCCTTTTTTATGCTCTTGAGGCCCTCATTAAGTTCACTGAGCGTCCTTATAAGCAGTATTTTGAACTCATCATCTGTTAGGTTTTTTATCTCCAATTTGCTTAGTTCTTTTCTTGGGGTTTTGTTCTGTTCTTTCATTTGGGACCTGTTTCTTTGTCTCCTCATTTTGGCTACCTCCCTGTGTTTGTTTCTGAGACCAGATGCTGCTTGTTTGAAAGAATTTAGGAAAACCTGAAGCAGGATCCAAGACAGGCCAATCCTATGATTAAGCAACTGGCAACAGCTTGGGTGGGCCTGAAAGTTGGGTGGGGTTAGGCTTCAGGGAGTCACCAGGGCGGGGCTACCAGCGTTAGCCAGGTTGCTGGAGTCCCAGATACGGCGACTGTCTGCCC